TAAAAAATAAAAAAAGTCAAACTCTGTTTCTTTTTAGTCCTTATCCTGTTACGTGGTCTGTAGCATTTATGTAAACTCTTCTACCATGACTTCCAGAATACTGCACCCTCCTGGATTTGCCCCTGAATCCGTGGGGCCGCTGGCGGGAGCAGATGGCGCCTTCGCACTGAGTAATCTAAGGGGGAAAAGGGAAGGGCTGTTTGCGAAGACAGGGCCTGGTACGGGGAGTGGACAGGGATGGGGCTTGTGACAGGAGGGGTTGTTACCAGAACTGCTGCGTGGAGACGACCACCTGACAGAAGCTTCGGACTTCAGAGAGGAATGCAGCTAACCTGGACCAACCCAGTAGGGAGGGAACCAGGAGAAAGAAATAGACCAACCTCACTTTTCCCAACCTTTGGTCTTGACCGATGCTTCCCACTGGCCAAGTTAGACCCAATGTCAGAAGACAAGAGAGTCATGTATGCAGCTCAGACAAATCGGCCTCCCAGGGCACAGAGCAGGTGCAAAGTAGATTTTGAAGGACAAATGGAAAATATCCACCACATCTTCATATCTCTCATGTTTTCTTCTTAGTCTCATGAGTTGGCACTTCTTCAATCACCGTCTCTGTAGTACAGTGTTCCTTAGGGCTCTGCATCCCCTCTTTCCTTGTCCTGGACAATCTTACCTAGTCCTTAGCGTCAAATATCACTCAACATTGATGATTTCCAAGTTCCCTATTTAGTTCTTTCTTTTCTCCTAAGAGCTCCATTTGCTGCATGTGTCCATATTAAATGACTAGTCACTTCCTTCGTTTTAATACATTCAATAAGAACTTCTCTTTGTCCCAAATTTAATCCTGAATTTATCCTCTCAGTGAATGTTTTCCTCCCAAACTCATAGGCTAAAATCATCATACTCACCTTAATTTCCTCACTCTTATGTAGTCAGTTGACTGCTAAGTTCTATGTGTTACACTTCTGAATTTTCTCCAGTACTCCTTCCCTCCATCATTATGGGCAAAGTCATAGGTCACACTCATATTTTTTTCTTATGTGCACACTTCTATTAATGTAATAACCTCCTTGTTTCTACTGTGTAACTTTTACACTGAGTCCTTCACACTACTTCTGAAGTTATCTTTCTAAAACAGTTCACATTTTGTTAAACTCTTTGGTAAAAGCCTTCTTAATGTTACCTAAAGAATAAATCTCAATAGCTTAGAATGGTTTTCACAGCATTCCCATTGTAGCTCCAACTGCTCTTTCCATCTGCACAGCTTAGATTATATCTCTTTAAGTAATTCATTCTTTTTCATTTTTCTTTTGAGACAGAGTCTCACTCTCTTGCCTGGACTAGAGTGCCGTGGCATCAGCTGAACTCATAACAACCTCAAACTCCTGGGCTCAAGCAATCCTCCTGCCTCAGCCTCCCAAGTAGCTGGGACTACAGGCATGCACCACCATGCCTGGCTAATTTTTCTATATACTTTTAGCTGTCCAAGTAATTTCTTTCTATTTTTAGTAGAGACAGGGTCTTGCTCTTGCTTAGGCTGGTCTCAAACTCCTGAGCTCAAACAATCCACCTGCCTCGACCTCCCAGAGTGCTAGGATTACAGGCATGAGCCACTGTGCCCGGCCAGTAATTAATTCTTTATTCTTCCCTTTCTTTTATCATGCTACACCCACTGTCTTCTTTCTTCCTTTAAATTAGGATATGCAAATACAAATGTAGATGAGGGAAGCAGTCCCTATAACATAACAGAAAGTGGAGAAGATTGTGGCCATTTAGAGAACATGCCAGGGTAAAGGGAATAGCTTTCGTTCAGGTCCTATAGATTGTTGCCATGTGGGAATGTAGAGCCTTTGTTTTAAGGCCTTCATTTTTCAAGAGAACCCAAAAATTTAAATTTTTATATGAAGCTCCCATGGGTATATTTTTAAGCCATCAACAATCCTATGAGTTTACCATTTGTCCAGGATCTACTTGGATTGAAGCCTCTCTGACAGTTCAGCCCAATAGAACCTTTGATAGGCACTTCAAGCATTCCCCAAAGAGAGCAATTTGGACATTCCTTGTGCTACACAAGGTTCCAGATCCAGCTGCTCATTATCCAGCGGAGGCCAATGGCCACATGCCACGCCTGGCTATGTACATGCCACCCTGCTATAGTACGCATAGCACTGTGGTAAAAGAAAAAAAATACGGAGCAAGGCAGCCATCTGATGTTTCCCAAATGTTGGAAGTTGAAACCTGCTCACACTCTTGCCTCCTGAGAGAGTTTAGGGGAGCCTGTCAGTTTTTCCCAATATATAATGGTGAAAGCAGATACCTATGGAGACCCAGGGTTCAGTGCTCAAGAGAGAATGCAATAAAGGACTGTTTTTCCAAAGAGGTGGAGTGATGGGTGGTTTGCAGCTTCAACATGGTAACCTGAATGCAGGGCTGACCCCAGATTCCTGAACTCAGAATAGTCATATTTGACAGCTTTATTAGCCAGGCTGTGGCTAGTGCTGCAAATTAACTGTTTAAGGGGTAGATTCTGTGGACTTGCATGAACTGAATTCTGCATTCTCACCTGATCATCTGAGTAGAATTGTTCAATACCTTGACTAGAGAACTAGAAAAGATCTTAAGAATGTATGTGTGGAGTTGTCTAGAACATCAGAATCCTCCCACTTCATGGCATTTAGTGACTTAGGCAGGGCTAGAGTTTTGCCAAAACTTATACCATAGCAATGAGTGGCTATATTGGAGTGGGGACATGAGATGTGCCCAGATACCCAGCTGCTTGCTGGGTCTCCTGTGTGTGCTTGAAAACTGCATGCATCACCAGGTAGGGGCAACAGTGCTGGTGGCGTGGTGAGGCCAGGTGCCTGGTGCTGGCCACCAGTCTGAGGGATAGCAAGCGTGCTTAGACAAATAACCAAAGCCACTGACAGGGGAACTTTCTATTCCTAAAGCCTGAACTTCTTTGGAATCTTTCATGTCAGGCCTTATTTTAGAACTCACATCCTCTACCTTGTGCAGTCATGAGGGTGGATGCACTTTCTTAAATGCGCATTCCTTAAACTTGCGCTTCCTTAAACTTCACCGTCCCTCCATTCTTCCCACACTCATGATCACTTCTACAGCCCTTCTCGTAAAGGAAGATTTTCAGTTCCTTGAAGTACCACTCCTTCTAATCTCAGACATTTGCTCTAAACTTACATCTGGTTTATGAGAACACTATTCAAATTCCTTCATGTTCACAAACATGTTCACCATCACCCGCTACAGACCGATGACTTGATGGAGGAGTTTAACTGGTCCCTCAACAAGTTCTGTTTCTACTTATCATGCATAAATCATGACTTCTTCAGACACTACAGATTCTGGACAGAACAACCCACTTGTTCAACACCCATAATACAACCATTCACATCAACTAACTCTTCTCTCAACGTCAAGTTGTTGGCCACCACCTGTAGAAGTTACAGACCTCCCAGAAGGACTTAAATGACACATTCCAGTAATCCTAAGAAGCATGTAAAACATAATTTTCCTGTTACTGAACCCTATGAGAAACCATTTGAATAAGATATGGCATCTGAATTTGTTCTCGAGAAATATCTATGTGTGCTTAGAACTATAGGATTTGCCCCTGGGGTCCAATAATTCCTTTCATGATTGTCTGGCATGTTGCCCTCATTCCCTAGATCTCAGCTCCGGGGACCTGGGGATTATCTTATGCTCCATCGTAGACCCTATCAATCTAGACAGCAGTGCTTCATGTCTCATGATGGGGACACGTGAAAGCACGTGGTGAACAGCAGTGCCTGCTCCTTGTTACTCCACGGGAGGCTCTCAGCCATCCCTGGCCCCACAGAACCCTCGTCAAGTGGCCTGGCCCCCTCCCCGCTGTCTCCCCACAATAAGAGGCTCTAACCCTCAGGAAGACCCCATCCCTTCCTTGTCCATTGAAATCTTTTCCATCCTTCATGAATGGCCTGTTCAAATTATCACTTGCTTTTGTGAAATGTTCCCCGACCATCCAGGCAGAATTATCGGATCCTTCTGAGCTTCCACTGGCATCTACCACAGGGGAGGGAAAGGATGAGCAGCAACACTCAGAAACTGCACAATGCGACAGACCCTGTGCTAATTAGAAATGTTATCTTGTCTACTCACTACTACATTATGAGAGAGCATTTTTAGATCCTTTTACAGGTAATAAAACTAAGGCTCAATGAAGTATAACTTGTTTAAGATCACATAGATATTAAGTGGCAGAATCAGGATTTATAAATGAGTGTATTTCAGATAAAAATATGTTTTCCTCTATGATACATGGTCCTCTGAATTATTTCATTTGCTTATGTTGTACATGTGGTTGTTTATATCAGCATTGCAAACTCATTCTGTCGGAGTTCCAGAGGGCAATGTAACTGTGTGGAATGACCAAGTGTGAGTCAGCAGGAAGTGAGCTGGGGAGTGAATTTGAACATTCAAATTAAAAACTCAACAAAACAAATAACAGAGCTGTGGACTACATTTGCCTACAGGCCATGAGTTTGCAACCCTGGTTAAATATCTGATTCCATGACTACAGTGTAAGATCTTCAGGGCTGGACCTGCAACCTCGTCATCGTAACAAATCCTATGGTGTCTAGCCCAGACCTCTTCATGAAGCTGATACCCAGTAGATGTCCACTCAACTGAGTAAAAACAGAAAAAACTTGTCTTTAGTCTTTATATTGGTAGTCATTTCATTTCTGTAAATCTGTCCATAACAAGGTAATTTAAAACTATTAAAATGGTTTGGTTAAAATCCCTCTGCCCCCCACCCCATGCCCATCTAGAATTTGAAATGAGATGAGACATTAAGGCCAGAAATTACAGATTAGTCTGGATTCCTTGCCATTGGCCTTAAAAATCACAAAGCAGATGCCTGGTTTCCTAGTGGCCCTGAAGATGTGGTCTGCTCAACAGGACAGAGTGATTTTACCACTGAGATGCATTTTGTTTATTGCCTGCAGGCCCTGCTTAAAATGAGGGCATCGCGCAATGAAGTCATGAATGAGACTCAGGTGTGCCCCACGAGTGTGCCTGTGGGAAGAAGGGCTCTGACCAGGTCTGCGTTCCAGAGGTGGCCCGTCCCCACCAGCCAACACATCAATCTAATTGGCCGCAAGGAGAAACCCTGGTATGTGGTTTTCAAAATGCAGAAAATGAGAGAGAATTGCTTCAAGGAAGCCAAGATCCAAAAAACACTGTCAATTACTGTTGGTTTACTGACAAGGAAGATTTATAGGTAATCTTATTTTATAAAAATTATAGAGCCTCCGAGCTAAAAATAAGTACCTGCACACAAACGGTGATGGAAAGATTATTTCATCATTCTAGAATGTGTTTGCCTTCATGTTCTACTATTGTAGATTTTGTATGAATTTATACATAATAATTTTCTCTATATGAAGTTTAAGGTTGTCCTTAAAATAGCAGGCCCTACTTACAATGAAGTTACTAAATTTATCTTAAAGGAAGAGAAGGATACCCTAAAGTCATTGATAGTAATGACTTTAAACCTACACTCATGGGTAGAGTCATTTTAAGCATATACTAATAAATTTTGGAAATCTTCCCAAGAAACATTGAGATTTCAAAATCATTTATTATCATTCTGAAGCTACATTAACTACTCTTTAAGGACAGCCACAAAGGTTGACCATTTTCAATTGGAAATCTTAAAGCTGCTTTCCCTGTATTTATTTAGTTATAATTAGCACACATTATGAATTAAGTTTTGCACTGTTTTGCCCAGTTTTCTTCAAATAAATATATTTTTAGACAAATGCAGATACTAATATATAGGACAACCTACATCTCTAACAATTACTGCACACTTTTACATCTCTGCTCTTTAGCTTGCATCTTGGGACTTTGTCAGTAAATCAAAGACTTGTCTCAGTTCCTACCAGGAATACTTGAGATATTTGGAGTTTTCTACTGATATTTGGATTTTTATTCCCCAACTCTCACCGTGTTCCCTGATTCAAAAGCATACACCTCTCCCCACTTTATTTTTCCACTCTAGTTACATCACACTTTCTGGCTGTTAAATGAGTATTCAGTGTTTGCAGTATGTGCAAACATGGTGCTGTGTATGTACCATGGAAGTATGTAAGTAGGTGATTATGTAAATATGACTCTATAAACCATGAAATCCATACTAAACTATATTTAATATATTTGAAATCTTTTTATCTCTGCTGCTAATAATATTAATATGAATATTTTAAAAGCTGGGCATGTACTCTCCAGCTCATTCCTTGATGGTTCATATTTGGCCCCTTCACACAATTATATTACCCACCTGACCCCTGAAGGAATTGTTTTCTGTGATCCTATATTCCATACTGGTATTTTCTGACAGAACTCTAAAACACCTTCCAATCTGGTCTTGTATATTGGTTCCTATTTTTTTTCCCTCTTTGAAATTTCCCTCCTGAACCCCCCACCCCACCTGGTCCTCCCTCTCTGACGTGTGGTGGTGGCTGTCCTCCAGACCCACTGCACAACTGATGTCTTGGAACTTCTGCTCTAGGGAATGAAAGATTACAAAAATGCCAAATATCGTTTACTCTTTTCTGAATTCATACGCTTTGCAATGTGACTTTGCAGATTCTCTTATCAAGCAGAGAAATTTGCTTCTTTTTTTGAATCTCAGTTGGGTTTGTGACTTGCTTCGGCCAATAGAATGCGATGGAAGTGATGATGTTGCCTCTTCCTCCAAGCACACTTTTTCTCTCTCTCAGAATCCTGCTGCCCCCTTCCCCGCTTAATGACATAGGAACCTAGCTGGAGAGTGAGCAGCTACGCCCCAGCTGAAGCTGCCCTTGATTAGATAGCCCTAGTTGACCCGGAAGCTGACGACAGACACAGGTAACTATCCCATACCAAAGAACTGCCCGGCTGAGTCCAGCTCAACAGGCCAACTTGCAGAATTTTGAGCTAAGTAAATAGCTGCTGTTTTAAGCTACTAAGTTTTGGAGTGATTATGCAAAATTTGATACAACTGGTTCCAAGAGAACGTGCCAGGTGAATTATTTGTGGGAAGAGGAAAGATAGCATCTTTAGGATGCGATATGTATCAGTCCTCATTAGGCCCCAGGGGCACAGAATTCTGAAGTAGCAATAGCAACTTTGGTTCAAGAGCATGTTGAGTGGGTTTTTTTCTTTTTAAATTGAGATATAATCCATATACCACAGAATTTACTTTTTCAAAGTGTAGAATCCAGTGGATTTTAATATATTCACAAGGTTGTGTGACTATCACCACTATCTAGTTCCAGGGCATTTAATCACCGTTAAAAGACACCTGTACACATTAGCGGTCATTTCCCATTCTCCTCTCCCTTTGCCCCCTGGAAACCACTACTCTATTTTCTGTACCTATGGATTGGCCTGTTCTGGACATTTCATATAAATGGAACCACACAACACGTGGCCTTCTGTCTTTGTCTTCTTTCAGTTAGTATATAGTTTTAGCTCTGACATTTAGATCTTCAATCTATTTTGAGTTAACTTTTGTATATGGCCTGAGGTAGAGAAACCAACTTCATTCTTTTGCAAGTGGATATCCAGTTGAGCGTGCTTTTCTCACTGAATATATTCCAATGAAGGTGAAACTCTTCCCTAAGCAATTCTGATGCAAGAGGTAGAGGCGGCAGCACAAGCCGAGGAGTGCTTTCTCTCAGACGCTGCTGAGCCCTATCACTGGATTGCACTCACTGGCACTGAAGTTCCAGGAACCCAGAAGGCAAAGGGGCAGGAAAACCTAAGTATTTAAATACGCTGGATGGAAAAGATGAACACTTCAAATAATCCCTGCTGACTTTGCTTTCATCATTCCAAATTTTGAAATTTTGTAAGAAGGCAGTAATGATTTAAGTGATACTCTGAGAAATGAGACAGTAAGTTTAGAGAGATCACCTAGGATACGGTGAATGGACAGTGCCAACATTAACATGTCGCTGGCAGATTCCACCCCACGGATTTTAAGTTCACGGCTTGTGGAATCTGGACAACAGGCATCAACTGCACAGGGTGATGCTGAACCAAGAGTTTTTCCTTTTACTCTTATTCCTTCAGATATCATTGAATTTTTGCGATAGGGCCTTTAGCAACACTTAGAACTGGGTTTTCAGATACTTTTGCCTGTAGTAACTGTTCTAGAGGCTGGGAATTGTCTTGTTTTATCAAGTTGATGGCTGTGGAGCCAGGGCTACGATAATCTTGTAGGTCATAATAAATATTCAGGATCTTAGAAAAGGGATGTGTACAGAGAAGCAGCACTGGACTAATATCACTGTTGATGTGCAGAAGGAACTATATCCATTTCAAGGAGAAACAACCCAGAAGGAAGCTGCTAAAGGAATCACAACTTCACCGAGGCATCAAGAACTCCTTTACCTGAGACATGAAAGAATATTAAATTAGAGAGAATGGATTTTGAACTTAAAAAATTTTAGACTTTGGACCATTAACTCACTAGGCCAAGAAAAAACTGATTTTAAACTAAAATGCCTTTGGACTTTAATTTGCAAAAGCTTTTTTACTCATAATGGCAAAATAATATGATTTGGACTTTAATATATTTGGGATGTAGTGCCTCTAAATTTTAATATGTTAATGGGAGAATGTTTATATTAAAATTTAGGTCATTTCTACATTGATGACATTTTATTATTGGAGTATCTTTATGCAATTTTTATTGAATATTTTAATGTTTTCACTTAGTTTCATTGATGAACTTCTCATATATTATGTTAGGCAACATATTTGGACATTATTTAGAATGGGAAATAGAATAGTGAATGGTGCACAGAAACCTTGAAGTTATTTTAATTACCACATTACTCAAACTCACTTTAGAACATTTCAGGAGGAAAAAAAAAATATATTTCTCTCCAGTGGCCCCAAAGGAGAGTGGTATTGTGGGAATGAGCTCATGAAGTGTTGTCCTGATAAACCCCTGTCTTTATCCCAATGTGACAGCCACCCATGCACCTCCCCTCACCCAAAACTGACTGTATATTTCACTGTTAAGTCCAATACATTAAGGAAAAGAAACAAAGTTAGGAAATTTCATGGAGAAATACTTCTATTCCAGAGGTTTCTGTCCACATGGGGGGACAGTTAAACTATATTATAGTATAATTCCTTCCTCCTTCCCCTCTTTTACTCATTCCACAGGGGAGGACCCAGGTCTCTCACTACCTGGTGCCTGGTTCAAAGGGAGCATGAAAAGGCAAACATGCCAAGAGTTTCATGCAGAAGCTGCAAAGCTTATGATCAAGTAGCCTCAGAGGTCCCGGAATGTCATGTTCATTAAATAAGTCACTAAAGCCAGCCTAAATTCAAGAGGAGAATTAGACTGTACCTTCTGATGTGAGGAGCAGCCTGTTTGTCTAAGCAAGGTAGGAATTGCTGGTGGACTTTTCTGGAAATCGTCTTTCATCTTTTATTTCAACCTGTGTGTACTTCATAACTAAAATACGTTTCTCATAAGAAGCATAAAGTTAGGTCTTGATTTTTTTTATCCAATCTAATAATTTCAATCAGCATGTTTAGTTCATTTACATTTAATGTAATTGTTGGTTTAGTTGCATTTAAGTCTCCCACATTGATGCTTGCTTTATATTTAATCCATTTGTTCTTTGTTCTGTACCTCCTTTACTGACATCTCTTGAGTAAATTGCTTTTGTTTTAGTCTTATGTTTTCTCTTATGTATTACCTTTCTAATTCTTTGTGTTAAATTTGTTTTTAGAAATTGCATTAGAGTTTATGATATAAATCATGAAATTGTCATGTACTTTAATGAACCACATAAGAACATTTGAAAAGGAATAATTTTATCTCCTTTCAAGTTTTGTGTTCTTGTCATTTTTATAATTTACTATTATATGTGGTATAAATAATATCATCATTGCTTTAGACAAAAATTTTTTTAAAGAAATCATATGTTTATGTGTGTCTATATGTACTGTATGTGTATACATTATACTATTGGTAAATATACATATTACATAAAATGCTATATAAGATAAAGAAATAATATATAATTTCACATTATATAAAGAAGTTGTATAAATGCACAATACATAATGTATTATATAAAACATATTTACACACACACACACACCCCATCTCAAGGAGTATCTCTGTCAGATCTCGTCTCTGCCCCTACCCTTGGTATTTACTACTCCTGAGCACTCAGTGAAGGCTCTTGGAAATGACACAGTGAGTGGCAGGGGCTCCTTGGGACTGTAATCTCTCATGCCTCCCACGTGAAGCTGTTAAAGTATGGTTAGAATTTTGGCTAGTAAGTCTTTGGTGGATTCTTCCTCCTGAAGTTCTTCTGGATATGGCAGCAGCGGTAAATCTTTTCCATCTTGAAAAGTGTTTCTCACTTTCTGGAGTTTAGTTCGTGTGGGTTTCTTTGTGTCTTTTTCTGATGGCTTTTTAAAAACTATTATTCTGTAGCTTTTCCAGCCTTTTTTTTTTTTTTTTTTTTTTTTTTTTTTTTATTTCAGCATATTATGGGGGTACAGATTTTAAGGTTTCAATAAATGCCCTTTCAGCTTTTTTTGTTAGAATGAGAGCAGCTGCTTCTTGTCACTTTCTATATATGAATTAGGGCAGAATTTTCTAAATTCTTTAGAGTTAAGAAACTTTACATTTAGGATTCCTTAAACCTTAAGCTCTTGAATTTTTCTTACTTCATGTTTGTTCCTCAAATTTCAGATTAAATGTCACTTCCTCATGGGAAGTTTCCTCTAATAATCTTACATCTTTTTTAATTGCAAATCATTTTCTTCATGAGATGCTCAGTAGTTGTCATAATGATGGGACTAATACTGTGTGATTAGTGTGGCTATTGTAACCCACAGAAAATAGGAACAGTTAGGGAGAGAGGATTTCCAGGATAGCTGTTGTCTGTGTTTTTGTTCCTTGCATTTCTTTTGTTGTCTTTTACTAGTGGTGGTCACCATTCCTTTGGGGAAATGCCATCCTGCATTTTATGTAGACCGAGGGGCTGTTGTTCTACAGCGCCTCTCAGCAGTACCTCTCTCCCACTACGTCTGGGTGGGCAAGTGATCTAGGCTAAGCCAGCCCTAGCACCCTACTCCTAGTACTGGTGTAGGTATTACTCAGTGCTCCTTGGTTGCAAGTGACAGTACCCCAACTTAAAGAAGCCCAATCAAAAAGGGGAATTCATTTGTTTACATAACTGATAAGTATAAGAATTTTGTTTTAGAAATTGAACCACAAACATTTCTTTTTAAGTATGTGGGAATTTTCATTTAATAATAAAAAAGTTCAGTTTTTAAAAATTCAACAATAAAAAAATTCATTAACAAAAATTCATTTAATAATAAAAATAATTAATGTTTACTTTTTCTTCTTATACTATTTTAGATATTATATTATTTAATAGATTCCTTAGGGTCTGGTTTCATTGCTGGTACCTTAACCATTGTTCGATAGCATTTAGTTAAATTGTTGTATACCATCATTTTGGGGATGATACCTTATATGCTAAGTGGGAAGTGCCAGAACCACTTCAGTTCATTAATGAAAAACAGATTATTATGGAAGAAGCGTATCTGTGGCAATAACAATTTCTTTCACTAATTTCAAATGGTCTAGTTTTAGGGATACAATATCAACACCACAGACTATAGGAGGATCTGTTTACCTCTTTTTCTCTTTTTCCTGTTTCTCCCTTCTTGAATTAGAAGGCACATAAAAATGTTTATTAGGATGCATATAAAGAAGAGAGTAGAACTAAATAAAAAGGATAATTCATTAGGGCAGTACAGGCCAATGGAGAGTTGCTGAGATGTTACAGCCTCTTCTGAGGGTGGGCCAGTTTCTATTTAAGTCATTTAGTGGAAGAGAATTGCCCAGGGTAAGGATCTGGCTAAGTCCAGCGGGCTCTGGGGCAGGGTTACTCCTCTCCAGGGCTCTTCCCTGGGTGGGTTGTGATGATAACACCAGCTCTGAGTACAGGAGATTTTCATTTGATGAGTGGTCTGAACATCTACTTAGTGGTTATAAAATATTTGCTGCTGAAAGCCACAGAGCATTGATAAACAGATCCTAGACAGCTGAGTTATTGCAATCTACTTAACATGAGGAGAACAAATTATGAGTCAAATGTTCCTGTTTAATAACCGTGCTCGGGGCAGGGAGCTGTTCAAGGCTGGCGTTAACCCTGCGCGCACTGCGCCTGGCCTGGCTCCCAGAGAGGCTGTGCAGGCGCTGGAGCAATTCAGGTGGGTTTTCCATTAGGACTTAGGGTCACAGAGAGGGAATTTTAAAAGATCCATCTGGTAAAGGAAATAAACAATTTGTAAAACTGCTGTATGGTATCGAATATACTATTAATACCTGGACTCCCTCTGTGACTTCCATTCTGTCTTCCTTAGATTGCATGTGTTTAGGCTTATTAAATCTTGTCTTCAGCATAACATTGTATGCTTTTATGTTACTGGGGGAAGGGAAGACATGTTTGTCTGTTCTCCATCAGTCATTTGAACCTAGGTCAATGCTCGCGGCCGAAGCGCTATAAATACTCTCATTGAAAACTGACTCCTTTTCTCTCCTTCCAAGATCATTCTTTACTTTAACACATGCAGAAAGGGATGTCTTCATCTCATTCACAGAAAACAGAGGAGAAATACATTTCCTGTGCATATTACTTAAAAAATAAATGAATTTTAAATAGTGCCTTTCTTAACTGGCTCCTAAACATGCATTTAAGGGTATGTATGGAGCACACATGTTTGAGGTGAGTCGAAGTATTTCTAGTGGGCAGTGGGAAAACAACTTCTTTGATGTTCATGACCTGAATGCTGCTCTGAAAAATTTGCTTAATCAGAGCCATGGAAGGAAGTTGTCTTTGAGCCTTGGCCAAAATGGGACATCACATTTCTATGCTGCATGTCCACTTTGTTTACTAGCACTCTGCCACATGCCCACCTCCACCTCCTCCTGTGACAAGCACACACATACACACGTGTACACACACATACGTGTGCCCCAGACCTGTGCTGTGACTACTTGGGAAGCCTTGACTCCTACAAGCCACTCTTCATTCTTGTCTTGATCCCAAAGCTGGAATTGCTGCTAGAAATCTACCTGCAGAATCCAGAGTCTCTGCAGACACAGAGTTGGAAAATAAAGGTATGCAAAATTTATGTTTTAAAAAATACACAGAACCAAATTAAGGTCACAGAGGAATTTTTTTTATATTGGCACAGTCCCAACAGCTTCAAATTGGTTTTCCTGAGCCAAGAATTTCCTTAAATGAAATGCAATGTGCTAGGAAGGCTTTTAAGACCTTTTCACCTTAAAGTGCAAACCTCTGAATGGGGCCCTAGAAAGCAAAGTCTAGATTTGGCATGCCACTTAAACCATGATTAGCCGAGAGTATCAGCATGCTAGAAATAGCTGTATTTGTGAACCTCCTGTTCTTCAGCTCTTGACTGCCAGCCAAACCCCAAATCAATCCCAGAGAATGAAAACTAAGATAATAATGAGAAAATGGACTTTTCATGCCAAAACTCAGAAAAGCATCTTATTCTCCATATGCTGACTTCAGGCCACATAAAACAGGGAGCAGCACCCCTGGCCTGCTGTGCTGTCTTCAAGACGGTTTGCCACATCCCTGCAGACGCGTCCTCCCAATTGTTCAGGCTTCAGCTTCCTTATTAGAAACCTGGGGGCCAATTGTGCTGGCTCCCTCGTGTGAATATCATGCATTTCTTACACCTGTGTACCTGGTGCTTTCAATCAGCTGGCATATTTTGGGGAGGAAGATTTTCAGTAGTGCCAGATATTAAGCTTAACTCCTGCTCTGAGTTAGCGGGAGGCAGGCTTGATTTTTTTTCTTTCCATTGAAATATGTCCTTGTGCCTTACTTGACAAGCTGTTGTAAATGCTTAGAAAGATCTCTTTTGTTTTGAGGCTGCACTTGTGTTGGGTTTGAACCCGAGCTGGGTGGGGAATGAACACACTTAACTTTTCCTCTCTGCATAGCCGGGTAGGCGTTTACTCGAGGCTGCTATTTGTTATGAAGAATCGGCCATAAATCAGTACTCATTTTCCATTTTTTTCTTATTAATGGAATTGCTGCAGGAAGACAGCTTGTCTCTCTCTCCCTCACGGAGCCCTGCAGGACTGGGAGCTGCATGCAATAAAAGTTGTTTTGACAGAAAACTGACCAAACATGACAATGGACAGAGGGGGAAGACAGAAGGGAGGGGAAGGGTGTGCGTGCTTGTCTGTTTTGAACCAGTGTGTGCTCTCTCTCTTTTTTCTTTGTTAAATTACTTTTTCATATGAAGGACACAAAGGGAACGGCCCCTACTGGCAGCCAGAAGGCAGAAAACAAACCCTTTGAAATTTCTA